AACATATCAAAAAATCATATTCAACACAGCAGGACCAAACACATTGATATTTGTCATCACTTCATAAGAGAGCTTGTTGAAGAAAAGATTGTTGCCTTAGAACATGTCGCCACCGAATTGCAACTGGATGACATTTTCACTAAGGATTTGGATGCTAATCAGTTTGAGAACTTATGAGGAAAATTAGGAATTTGCTTATATGAGGGTTTGTAGCAATTAAGGGCGTTTGGGAATATCACTAAAGTGATATTATATTTATTTATGTTTTTAACAAATCAAATGTCGAAAGCAATCATTACAATACTGCCTGAAAGTGTTTCCCACACACTACGAAATCACATCTTTCTACTTTATCAAACTCTTCATTCTCCTCTACAAAAAAAGAACCATTGTCATCTTCATCTCTTTGCTCAAAAACCTTCAAAGATGTCTCAATATCATACATAATCTTCCTCAAAATATGTCAACCTCCCTGAGAAAATATCTCTTGACATAGTACTTGACGTTACTCCCCTAACAACTATCCCACCTCTTGAGAAGAAGGTCAAGAAATCCAGATCATCGCCTGCAAAGAAATCCAAAAACGATAAAGGTAATACTTCTACTGCTACTGATGATAGGACATAAGAAGAGATTGTCAATGTTGATAGAAGCATTAGAAGGCTAGTAGATAGAGTGTTAAATGAAGGTTTTGTTGTGCCTGGGATTTCTAGCCCTCTTGCTCGTATACCTGCTCCAGCTGACAAAATAAATGACCCTAAACGTGTTGATGAATCATCCATCTCCAAGAAAGATGTTGCTGAAAGAAAACTTGATAACCTTTCTACTTCTACTCTAAAGGAGGTGGAAGATGATGTTGAACCATATATTGAGAAGAACTCTCCTACTAAGGAAGATGTTGCTGGCTCCAAAGCTGCAGAAAATCAAAATGTTGTGAATGTGATTAATGTTGATGAGTTGTCTGACAATGAGCTCATCTCTAATGTGGTGCCTAGAATTGCTAAAAGGCTCAAATCCAAGAAAGTGAAGGATGTGAATATCACACCCCCTGCCAAGATAATCAAGAAGAAAACCATGTATGGTCCCCCAAAGCCTGGAAGTAAAGTGGTTCCTCCCTCTAGCAAAAGAAAAACTAGGCCTGATAGCTCCACAAATGATTATGATGATGTTGTAAAGAGATCTAAGAGCAAGAATAAATTTGTGTTAGTTGAAGAAGTTAACTCTGAATATGATGTCAAGGAAGATGTCTAGGATATCTCTCTTGTGAAAAAGTCTGCAAGCAAGAAGCTTTCTGTTAGGGTACCTGATACCCCTCTTGACAACATTTCCTTACATTATGTTAGGAATGATGAAAAGTGGAAGTATGTATTTCAAATAAGAATTTCCCTTGAAAGAGAATTGAGAGTTGATGCACTGGAGTGCAAAGAAATTACGGAGCTTCTATCTTCAGCTGGATTGATGAAAACTGCTACCAGGTTTGCCAAGTGCTATGAGACTCTTGTTAAGGAATTTATTGTTAATATTCCAATTGATTGTGCTAATCATAAAAGTAAGGAGTATAGAAAGGTGTTTGTTATAGGTAGGTGTGTAGAATTTTCCCTTGCTATCATAAATAGATTTCTGGATAGGTCTGAAGATGATTATTGTGAGTTGGAAATGACTGATAATCAAGGGTGCAAAGCAATCACTGCAAACCAAGTGAGTTAGTGGCCCTTATAGAATAAGCTTTATGTTAGTAAATTTAGGGTGAAATGTGCTATCTTGCATAGAATTGGAGCTGCTAACTGGTTCCCTACCAATCACACCTCAACCATCACTATTGGCTTAGGAATGTTTATTTATGTTTTTGGAAACAAGAAACTGTTTAATTATGGTTCTTACATTTTTTATCAGACTATTAAGCATGCAGAAACATGTGCCATCAAGATGCCTATTGCCTTTCCTTTCCTTATCTACGGAATTATTCTTAATCAACATCCTGAAATTCTAAGTGGTAATGATGTAGTATGCAAGAGGGAGTCTACTTTGACCCTTCACTTCAAGCTTTTTTCAGGAAAACATGTCCCAGACATTGTTTTAACATCCTCATCTGTTGAAAACAAGACCTCCACCAAGGATGACATGATCACTGAATTAAGGGAAGCCTACAAAGAATTAGATTATGTGATCAGAGTTAGCTCATCAAGAAAGGTAACTTTTGAAAATATGATCAAGGAGCTGTAGAAGGACAATAACTTTGATGATAAAGTGAGCTCTGAAGAAGGAGATTCTAGTAAGGAAGGAAGTTATGGCTCTGCCAAGTTTATTGGTCCTGAAGACAGTTAGACTATTTGCTGTTTATTTATTTGACCCCTTTGTTTCTTTTTGGCACTTGTAAGTTACTTGACTTCTGAATTCTATGGTATGTACCTATATTATTGATATTCTCTTAAATGCATCCTTTTATTTGGAATACTACGACTAAAAGGGGGAGAGAAACTGACTGACTGACCACTGACTGAAGGGGAGCTTAATACTTGAGGGGGAGCCTCATGTCTCAAAAGATGTTCTGACATCTTCCTTTGCTAACAACTAACTGCTAACTAAGTTTTTGTTTTTGCTTGCTTTGCTTATGTTGTTGCTTTAATAATGCTCTGATAATGCTCAAATAATGTTTTATCCAAAATTTGCCAAAGAGGAAGTTTGTAAGTGTTTGTTGGCAGCAATTTTTGTAAAATAATATTTTGATAATATTTTGCTAAATGTCTTGACATTTCAAGCAAACTGTTTTGAATGATGTCAAAGCAGATGTCTTGAGATCTGCCTCCTGAACTGAACGCAACTCATATCAGTTTAAGTTGTCTGTTTCCTGTTTTCATGCGCGCCATAATTCAGGATTTATGACTCATAGGCTGCGAAAAATATGGAGGAATATTTTTCTATTTGAATTATCCTTATGGATTATATCTTGGCCCGTTTTCATTGAAATATTCAAAGATTGGAATATGTTTTTTCCAACCCAAGCCCACTATTGCGCCTTTATAAGGACTTGCTTCCTTATTCATTATACTACAACTTTTGAAAAAGAATACTTTCTTTATGTTTTAAAAGTCTAAGTCTTTTCATTTTCATACACTTTAGTATTGATTTAATACTTGATTTGTTATTTTGAGTTGTTAATTATGGATCATTCATAAACTTTTAAGCATTGAATGATTGAAGTCTTTAAAACTTGTTATTTCAGTTGTTCTTCACTGTAAGTGATTGAAGGGATTTGAGGAGGGCCTCATACCTAGGTGTGTCTTAGGTAGAAGTATAGCACAGGTAGTGATTATGTGATTGGATCATAAACTGGTGGTTTACTGAGGATCTATGAATTAATATTATTTAGTGGACTTGTCCCTGGCTTAGTAGCCCCCAGAGTAGGTGTTGTTGTACACTGAACTAGGTTAACAATCCCTTGTATTTTTTTTACTATTTTCTTTTTTTGCATTTTACATTGTCCTTAGATATTTGTGTCGCGACATCTCCTTCGACATCTCATATCTAATACCAGAATTTCACGTATGAATGAGAGGAAAAAGGTTTAGTGTGTATTCTCTACTGTCGCAGCTGGTTATTAAATAAGAGTCACCACTACTAGTTTTTATCCTAAGGAAGAGAATCTAATAGGAAACGCTAATTTCACAGACAACGATTCTAGGTTTTGGACTCTGTTTTAGACGAAGGGAATGTGTTAGACATCGTTCATCTACCTTGTTCACAAGGATACTAGGGTTTAGAAGCGCTTTTTAGGAAAAAGGGATTTTAATTATTAATTAGGGGAAAGGGTTTTAATTTTAGTTAGGGAAACTCGCCACGATTTTAGTCGTATGCCTACGTATCCTCTTAGAAGGAATCATAGTCCAATTCATAGTTCACGGTGTTTGGTTGGTATTTTTATAGGACCGCGTAGAATTGCTTTCGAATTAACCTTGAACCTTGTATGAGTTGTAAGTTGAGTGACCCTAGACGTAGTTCGCAGTTAATTTTAGAAGAAATTCTCCTTAACCCTTTTTCGAAAATAATTTTGTGTTTTTATTATGTTAGTAAAAATGATTTGAGATTGGTTAGCTGTTTTGAGTATAGAGTGGGGGAGTCTGATATAGTCTCCTCATCACGTGGCCAAATATTGGTCATGTGTCGCTCGCGAATGAAGTATTTGGTTAGTCGCGTGTATTTTAATTATTTAATTTTAAATAATAAATTAGTAGACAAAATGTCAATCGATTTAATTACTCGAAAATGAATATCCTATTATTTATAGGATGTTTGAATTAATTTTGTACGAACGGGAATTTATATATTCGAGTTTTATTTGGACTAAACTCTTAAATTATTAATTAAATAAAATTAAATGCATAATTATAACTATACTTAATTAGTATAAAACTAAATCGAAAATAAAACAAGTAAATAAAATTAAGGCTGCAATTAGTATATAGCGGATGTTGATTAGCAAATGAATAGAAAGGGTGGATTAGAAGCCCAAGGCGCACAACCAACTCTAATCCAATGTATACTAAAAGAAGAATTTACATAATTAAAAAGAAAAAAACTGAATAGAGGGGGCCGTTGGTTTATCTGTTACAGGGAGAGTGGGTTTTATTCTACATCTCCTGCTTTTAATAATTAATTTAATCTAAATGAATAATAACTAAAAAATACAATGGAAAAGGGCTCATAATCAGTATTTGGGGCGCTGCTACCCTTACTGATTTTCCTCATTTCATGTTCTCAAACAAATAAGAAACCATCCACTTAGGTCTCGACATGTGGCATGTCGGATTAAAAAAAAAATTAAAAAAACAAAGTTTATGTGACCTAACATCAATAAAGCAATTAGAAATAAAATAAAACAAAACAAATACCACATTCTCTCTCTGTCTATCGTCGTCTTCTTCTTTCTTTTATCTTCACCTCTAAAGATCTGATGTCCATGGCATAAACCGCATGAGATTGACGGTTGGCTTCACGGTGTGATGGAGTTTTGCTGTGGGCGGAGATCGGCTTTGACGGTTTCGTCAGAAGAGGTTGGAGCGGCAAGGCGGAAAAACAGTGGCGACAGATCAGAGATTGAGGCGTCTGACAGTGATGTTGGATGGTGATGCACGGTGAGTCGGTTGTGATTTGAAAGGATGATATCACGGACGGAGGGTTGTCCTCCTGTTGTCTGCTCGGTGTTGTTGTCGGAGCTTCGATCGATTTCTCTTCTGTTTCTTTTTCCTACATGAGAAACATATACAACAACAACGAAAATATATTTGATTATTGATGAGAAATAAAGATGAGATTGAGTGTGTTGAGACTGGCTTTCGGTGCTGGGTTGCTTTGTGCGTTTTGATATTTCACGACGATTTGAATCATGTTTTAGAACTCCACTTTTGTTGTTGAAACATTATCTTGTTCTATTTATTCCTGCAGGTTATTTGAACTTGATTCACTGTAAAGCAAACAAATGTGTGTATCAATGTGTTAGTTAGAAGCTGTGTAATTGATAAAGGTGTTTATATATAATTCTTATTGTAACAATAAAAACATCTACCGAAATATTACATTGCTATTAGCGAAAAGAAATATTTAAAAGAAATTTGTTGTAAATTGTGAGCGAGTATACAGGATTGAAAATAAAAGGGTGAAAGGGTAATAAGAATCAGAGTAGAAATTGTTTACACAAATATAAATTAAAAATAATAACTATCGGATGATGATCATATGGTTGAAAAAAAATAATTTAAAATTATAAGAAATTAAAAATAAAAGAGAGGCGGCCTCATATATTAATCATCGACCAAAACAAAGTTCGTTGTTTATAAAGGCGTAGAAAATTGTGAAAGAGAAAAAAGTGTATTATTTTTAGGCTGTTGGTCCGATGTATTCAACAACTTTAGAATAAATCAAAAAGAATTGTAAAAGCAAATTAACAAGCTTATAGGTAGTGTTGAAAATTTTCAATGATTGTTGATGATCCTCAAGTGTAAACTTTGAGGGCTATTTATAAGCGAAAAAAATTAGGTTAAACCCCAAAAAATGAAAATACCCAATACCTAAAGTCCAACTTCTTATCTTGACCAGCAAGATTAAGAATTTGGATATATTTGTGTCCATTGCAAAATTTAATATAAAGAAAACGGTTAAAATATCCAAAGTACACCAAGTGAGATTTGAATCTGTGACCTTCTGTTTGCAAGTCTTTCTTGCGTACCAACTGCATTATGTTACTTATTTGAAGTAAAAAGTCAATTGTAAGTATATGAAGTCGAACAATTATTTGCTATTTTAAAAATACAAATAATTTGACATAAATTATTATTATTTTTAAAAAGACTTGAAAGCGAATATTTATTAAAAATCCCAAAATGTTAATGTAATTAAACCAAAGGAATCTTATACCCTGTAAAATTTAAGTTCGGAAATAAATTTGACGGTAGCATTAAGGCGGGCAAATTTGGGGTATGACATTTGTATTTTTCTTAGGTATTGTTCTGATTGTTGTTTTGCGTGTATTTTTCTTGTGTGAATTGTGGATCTTATGAGGTGGTTATGATGTATATTGTTGGGTGTATTTGTATGTAAAATTAAGAGGAATGAGGGGATGTTATATAAGATAATTGGAGTGAGGGTATAATATAGATTAGTGGCAATTAGGATAAGAACAAGAGAAATTGGATAAGAATTAAAGGGAATAATCCCTGATTTTGTGGTGTGGAGGTAAGGAAAAAATCGTGGATGGCAAGTTTGTGAGCTGTATGATGCTTTGTGTAATTCTGTTATTTCCTCTATTCTAATATTTCTCATAGTTTCCACCTGTTTGTATATCCTGATTTTCTAAGCTGGCTTTATATTTTTTGATTTAATTTGTTTTGATAATTCTATTATTTTCTCTGCTGAGCTGGAATTGAAATTGGTTTTTGATGAAGGTTTGAACAGGGTCACAACAGAAATACACGGAGTAAGCATTTAGAAACCGAAAGTTAATGTGCATAGTGTTGGAAGTTGCGATACAGGGTACAGGCTTAGACCTCTTTGGAAAGAAGGTTGCAACTTTGCGATTATGGAAAGGAGCGGTTTGGTTCAACTTCGGGCAATAGGGAAGTTTTGGTTCAAATTATTTTGTTGTAGTTTTGATTTAGCAATAGGATTCGAATTTTGTGTGGCATGTGAACCTATTTAGGACTGTATGTAGCATGAATTCTTATGAGAATGTATGGGTCTATATGTGTTGGTCTACTGCAGGCAGTGGAAAGTTTGGATAAAGCATGATATGGGCAGTTGGGAAGAATTTCATGGTATGGAGATTTTGGATCAAAGCACTAGCATGGAAGCAACCCTAGAAGCATGATGGAGTTGAAGATGAATTTTGAATTTTAGGAGAAAGTTTGAAGAATAGATAAGTTTATGATTAGAAAATGAATATGTGAAGTATGAGAAAACTGGGTGGAAGAGACCTTGTTTAAAATGTAACAGAACTTGGACTTTTGAAATGCTTATTGTAGTGAATTGAAATTGTGATGATTCTCATGATGTACTAAGTTTGAACCAAAAATATCTTTGAATTTGCATTTTACTCCTTTTCTCTTTGTTATGCTTGTATCGACTTATGATATATCATGCCTTTAGCCAAATATATCTTGAAATGAATTACGATTTTACCAATGAACTCTCCATGTCTAAATGCTTTCACGTGATTGAATGGACCTTGAAGCATAAGCCTTGAATTATTTGTTCTAAAACCGAAATTAAATGTACTTTCAATCAGAAACCCTTTCTAATGATACTTGAAATCAAACTATGAGCCTTGAATTGGCAATTCATTTTCAAAAAGGTCCTTACGAACAAAATGCATATAATCTTTGATGAACTTGAAAAAAATTTGGACTCATGGCAACAAATATCACTTAAATGAACACTTCCATAATAATGAATCCACCCTAATTCGATTCTTCAATCCTCATCAAACTTGCATAGAAAGGTGAAATAGAACCAAAATAACTTGATCTCAAGGAAATCACAACATCATTATTGTATCATGTCTTGACTTCACACTTTTGCAAATCAATCCATAAATCCTTTGCCTTGACAAAATCTCTTTGATTGAATTTCCATGCTTAGACCTCAAATTGAATGATCCTTGGCTTCAAAATTGAGCAAAAGTCATCTTGGTCAACAATTGACTTTTGTTGACATTTGTCCAAAACACCTGGTTTCTTAATCTTTCCACCATTGATGCAACCCCTGAATTTCATTCAAAATACTAGCTGGGGACCAAACAATTTGGAAATGTTGATTGATGGACAAAACCCTAATATCTTGGTGGCTTTTGGAGAAATTCTTGAATGCGATAAACTTGTATGTTAAGAGGATAGCCATGATGGTAGAATCCCAAACCTTGAGCCTTTGAACAATGATATTCTTTAGTTGACAGGTCAAGATACCTCAAAAACCCTACTTTGACCAGATGAAAGCCATTTGCACTTGATGAATAACTTTGTGAATGAGAATTTCTCTTGAACTTGTGTAATCAATGGGAAATTCAACCTCTTCCTTGATGGATAATCTTGAGCCAGGAGAAACCCTAGGAGCCTTGATCCCATGAGTGTAGCAATGAATATGACCTAATGATAGGTGTACAAGTGCAATGCAATAAACCAAATGAAAAGATATAAGGGTATGACAAATTTGGGGTATGACAGCTGCCCCTATTTATCATCATAAACCTAAAAGTTAGATTCTCACCAGCCTTTCGAGCATTCGAGGTAGTAGAAGATTAAATACAAAATATCATAAATTTGTCTGAAAGAGAAAGTGGTGTTGTCATTTAGGTTTGTGATATTGGCTAGGGATAGAAATATGGGTGAAGTATTTTGTAATGTAGCGTCTGTGCCAATAAAAGGTGATTTCTATAAGTAAGTAAGAAATAATCAACATGGACGAGTGCGAAAGAGGATACAAATGAGTATCAAAATGAATCAACACGGGAAAGTGCTGAAATCAATACAGATGAGTATTGAAAGGGGATACAGACGAGTATCAAAATGAATCAACATGGACGAGTGTTTAAATCAATATGGATGGGTATTGCAAGGAGATACAGACGAGTACAAATTGAGTTAGCATAGACGAGTGCTGAAATCAATACAAACGAGTATTGAAAGGCGATACAGACGAGTATCAAAAGGAATTAACACAGACGAGTGCTGAAATCAATACAAACGAGTACTGAAAGAAGATATGGACGAGTATCAAAAGGAATCAATACAGACGAGTACTGCAAGGAGATACAGACGAGTATCAAATTTAGTTAACATGGGCGAGTGCTGAAATAAATACGGACGAGTATGGGAAGAGGATACGGACGGGTATCAAACTGAGTTAACACATACGAGTGTTAAAATCAATACAGACGAGTATTGAAAGGAGATACATACGAGTATCAAAATGAATCAACACAAATGAGTGCTGAAATAAATATGGACGAGTAATGAAAGAGGATACGAACGAGTATCAAAAGGAATCGACACTAACGAGTGTTGAAATCAACATAGATGAGTATTGAAAGAGGATACAGATTGGTATCAAACTGAGTTAACAAGAACAAGTGTTGAAACCAATACGAACAAGGATATGGACGGGTATCAAACTGAGTTAACATGGACGAGTATCAAACTGATTGACTCTTCTACAATTTGGGTTTATGCATTGTATACTCTGTAACCTCTTGAGCATTTAGAGTATCCTAACATAATACACTTTTGTGCTTTAGAGTCAAACTTGTTCAGATGTTCTTTGGTGTTAAGCATAAAACAAATACATCTAAATGGATGGAAATACGAAATGTTGGGCTTTCTGTTCTTCCACAATTCATATGGAGTCTTATCCAAAATATGTCTTATTGAGATTCTATTATGAATGTAACACGGTGTGTTAATTGCTTCTGCCCAGAAATTCTTAGCAATGTTAATCTCGTTGATCATGGTTCTGGCTATTTCTTGTAAAGTTCTGTTCTTTCGTTCTACAACTCCATTTTGTTGGGGAGTTCTAGGACAAGAGAAATCATGAGAGATGCCATTCTCATTAAAAAATATTTCAAATTTTTTGTTTTCAAATTCTCCACCATGATCACTTCTGACTTTAATAATTCTAAGATCTTTCTCATTTTGGACTTGGTTACAGAAAGCAACAAACACAGAGTGTGACTCGTCCTTGTGTCTTAAGAACTTTACCCATGTCCATCTTCTATAGTCATCTACGATCACTAACCCATACTTCTTTCCATTAATGGATGCACTTTTCACTGGTCCAAATATATCTATATGCAGAAGTTCTAATGGTCTAGAGGTAGAAACAACATTTTTTGCTTTAAAAGGAGGTTTTGCAAACTTGCCTTTCTGACATGCTTCACACAGAGCATCTGAGCTGAATTCAGATTAGGAAGTCCTCTGACCAGATTGAGTTTGTTAATATGAGATATTCTTCTCATACTAACATGCCCCAATCTTCTATGCCAGACCCATTGCTCATTGTTAACATACAGTAGGCATTTTACATTATGACTTTTTAGTTCAGAAAGTTTTATTTTGTAAATGTTGTTCTTTCTCTTTCCATTAAATAGGGTAGATCCATCTTTCTGACTAACAACTTTACAGGAATTTTGATTAAAGATTATATCATATACGTTATCACTTAATTGACTTATGGATAAAAATGTATGCATTAATCCATCTACTAATAGAACATTATTAATAGAAGGGAGGTTACCGTTACCGACAGTTCCATAGCCAATGATCTTCCCTTTCTGATTGCCTCCAAATCCTACGTAGCCTCCAGATTTAAGTTCCAGGCTTTGGAACATATGCTTTCTTCCCGTCATGTATCGAGAGCATCTAGAGTCCAGGTACCATGATTGGTGTTTCAGTCTTGTTGTCAAAGATATCTGCTACATATGCAATTTTTTCCTTAGGTGCCCATATCTTTTTGGGTCCTTGTTTGTTAGTGTTACCAAAATTCTGTTTGAATTTTGGTCTAGCAGAGAAATCATTACTGGTATATTTTAAGTCATGTGTGTGCCCATATGTAAAGTGAGATTTTAAAGGAGTGCGTTTAATAACTAAGTCCTTGAATTTCTTAGGTTAGGATACTTTACCTTTGTATCCTATACATGTTCTGCCATTTCTGCTAACTCCATAGATCATTGAAGCCATCTTGCTTCTATCTATATTTTTAGCAAGGAACTTCTGAAAGCTATGATCATATTCCTTTATGATCTTATCAGAGTTACTGGGAACCTCTGAGATAGTTTCCTTCTGAGTGTTTTGTAAATCGTTTTCAAGTTTTGAAATTTTTTCTTTCAGCTCAGAATTTTCCAATCTTAGATTCTTAGTTTCTCCAGAGTCAGAAACTAGATCCCTTTTCAGGTTCTTGAATTGGACTCGAAGTTGCTGATATCTTTCAAGAATTTCACTTAGACTTTCTCCTAATTCAGCTTTAGTAAAATTTACAGTAAATCCAGGAAATACCTCTTCAGTGTCTGATTCTGATTCTGACCCAGATGATTATGTATCTTCTGTCACGTTGGCCATAAGAGCAATGTTGGCTCTTTCATCTTCTGATTTTGCGTCTGCATCAAAATTATCTGAGTCATACCATGTTGCCATGAGACTTTTCTTCTTCTCCTTAAAGAACTTCTTTTTGGTTTTCTCCTTTTGAAGCCTTTGACAATCGCTTTTGTAGTGCCCTTGTTCATTGCACTCGTAGCAGAAAATGTCCATGTTGCTTGACTTTCTGTGTCCAGAAGATGATTCATACTTTCTGTGTCTAGAAGATGATTCAGACTTTCTGTATCCAGAAGATGATTCATTCTGATTCCCTGTTCTTCTGGAATTTCTGAACTTCCTTTTCCTCTGCTTCCACAACTGATTGACTCTTCTGGAGAGAAGAGACAATTCGTCTTCTTCTGATGAGGATCCACCAGAGGTTTCTTTCATAGCCTGCAAAACTTTAGAATCATATCTTTTGTTAGATTTAAGGGCTAAAGGCTTATCTTGTTTCTGGTGCTCATCATCTTCTAACTCTATCTCATGACTTCTGAGAGAGATGACAAGTTCTTCTAGAGATATCTTATTAAGATCTTTTTCCAGTTTCAGAGCAGTGACCATGGGCCTCCATTTCTTTGGTAAACTTCTGATGATCTTCTTTACACGATCAACAATTGAATACCCTTTGTCCAGAACTTTCATCCCAACAACCAGAATTTAAAATCTTGAGAACATTGCTTCAATGGTTTCACTTTCTTCCATCTTGAAGGCATCATACTTCTGAATGAGCACAAGGCCTTTGGTTTCT